AAAAAAATTACAAATTTAAAAATCGCTAATTTTCGAAATTTTTTCAATTTTTTTTACTAAAATGTGCCGTAACTTTTTCAAAAATGAACGTATGAATATAGTTTTTTTTTTTACAGATGCTTGATGTCTTTACCTATCATTTGGTATATTTTTTTTGTAAATCTAACCCTTTATCTACCCACATGGGGGGATTTAAAATGACAACTTTTTCACAAAAAATTAACTTTTTCAACTTAACTTTTGAAAATGTTCCGGAAGGTCTGACACTTTTATATATATCTTAAATTAAAGCTAATGTAATGTACTTTAATTAAAAAAAAAAAATTTCACCTTTGGACTTGTCATAATGGTCAATAATGGTCAAAATTGTCAAAAATTTACATTTTTTACTTTAAAGTGCTATAACTTTTTAAAAAATGTATGGATCAATACAATTTTTTCATGAGAAGTAGTATTTATATACATCTTTCATTGGATATACTTTTTTTTTAAATCAGACTATTTTCCTATATATGAGGGGGCTTCAAATATAAAAAATGCATATAGAAAGTAGAACTTTTTCAACTTAATTTTTGAAAGTGTTCCGGAAGGTCTGACACTTTTATATATATCTTAAATTGAAGCTTATGTAATATACTTTAATTAAAAAAAAAATGTCTTCACGGTGAAAATAGACATCAAAGTTAATAAAAAATTACGATTTTTGTAAAATAATTTTTTTTTATATTTTTAACTTAATAATGCTATAACTTTTTAGAAAATGTATGAATAAGTAATTTTTTTTTTATATAGATGTTTGATGTCTTTACCTATTATTTGGTATATTTTTTTTATAAATTTAACCCTTTACCAGCCCACAGGGGGGGATTTAAAATGACAACTTTTTCAACTTAACTTTTGAAAATGTTCCGGAAGGTCTGACACTTTTATATATATCTTAAATTAATGCTAATGTAATATACTTTAATTTAAAAAAAAAAATTTGACCTCTGGACTTGTTTTCATGGTGAAAACGGCTACCGAATGCTATTTTTGTGTGAAAATTTTCGATTTTATAATTTACACTTTTAATTTTATTATGCTATAACTTTTTGAAAAATATATGGATCAATATAATTTTTTATGAGAAATAATATTTTTTAATAATCTCTTTTTCATTTGACATGCTATATCTTAATCAGGATATTAATAAGGTACTAGCAGATCATGTAGCTTTTGGAATAATACACCAACTTTTTTAAATTTAACACTATCTAAAGATTTGCATCGAAGCGTTTTTTTTTTGATAGTGATTTTAATCACTGTCAGATATCATTATACTTGACCAAACTATGCCACGTCACCACTGTGCCGCGACCCCCCTGTGCTGGGTTTTTAATATAGATGCTGTTGTTCAACCAACAACTGCTAATACCCATGTGGCAGACTATACTGATGATAAAATATTGCTTTCTGAAAATTAAAACCATTACTCCATTGATACCCGACACCTAAACCTCATGTATGACTGAAACCAAAAATGGCGCATTATGTTAAAATAATAAAAATGTCCCATTGTAAAACAAACTGTTATTATCAGATACAAAAAATTCAACAACTGATTCCAAAATTATCTAAATCCGCTCATTAAAACCCTATTCTCCTCGAAAATTCTTTTTATTCCTCCACGTCGATTATGTTAAAAGGAAATAAATATTACTTTTAATCTCTATCTTAACAATCCTACATAATTTTTTTTTAAATATTCCAACTTTAATTAATGTTACATGTTATCATTGACAATATTATTAACTTGTCGCACCACATGTATACAAATATCAAAAATGACCTCCACACTAAGGTATAATATATA